CCGATTCACTCCCCTCCTTACCTCCCCCACAAATAATTAACAGAAGGGTTAGCAAGTACCAGGGAATCGGGAACAGCATGAATGGTGGGTGGGTGGTAAACACAATCAACAAAGCTACCAAAGTTCTTAAAGTGCAGCAGGTAGTTGTATCAACCTCACAGTTCTTAAAGTGCGTTAGATAGATGTTAAGCACTATCAATGGCATTACCAAGTTCTTAAAGTGCAACAGGTAGTTGTATCAACCTCACAGTTCTTAAAGTGCAGTTCTTATATCGCCATGTTCTAGAGGCATTCTCTCCTGACGTTTCACCTGCATCTATGGCAAGCATCCTCAGAGGTAGTGAGGTCTGTTGGAACCAGGAAAAAGGGTTTATATATCTGTGGAATGACCAGGGTGGGACAAAGGACTCTTGTCTGCTGGAGCTAGGTGTGAATGTTTCAACTGACCACCTTGATTAGCATTTGATGGCCTGGCAGTGCCTGGGGCAATCTTTTGTTGAGAGGTGATTAGATGTCCCAGATTGTTTCCTCTCTGTTGTTTTGCTGTTGTAATTTTAGAGTTTTTTAATACTGGTAGCCAGATTTTGTTCATTTTCATGGTTTCCTCCTTTCTGTTGAAATTGTCCACATGCTTGTGGATTTCAATGGCTTCTCTGTGTAGTCTGACATGGTGGTTGTGAGAGTGGTCCAGCATTTCTGTGTTCTCAAATAATATGCTGTGTCCAGGTTGGGTCATCAGGTGCTCTGCTATGGCTGACTTCTCTGGTTGAAGGAGTCTGCAGTGCCTTTCATGTTCCTTGATTCGTGTTTGGGCAATGCTGCTGCGTTTGGGGGTCCCTCTGCAGACTTGTCCACAGCTGCATGGGATATGATAGACTCCTGCAGAAGTGAGAGGATCCCTCTTGTCCAGATGCAGGCAAAACATCAGGAGAGAATGCCTCTAGAACATGGCCATATAGCCCGAAAAAACTTGCCACAACCCAGTGATTCCGACCATGAAAGCCTTCAACAATACAAGCATTACATTTTTATTTATATGGATGATGATGATGACGATTATTATATACTTCAGTTCAAAGCAGATAATCTGGGATCAGAAACTGGATTACATGACAGTGTAGATGGGGCCTCACTGAAGTCTGAAATTACTAAACAGAGCCTGTTGTACTTCGGACATATTGTGGTGTCATCTGAGATAGTGGGGAAAATGGGAATGTTGAAGGCAAGTGAGAAAAAGAGGAAGAACACATTGAAAGTGGGTTGATTTAGCTAAGGAATCCATGGACCTGAATTTGCAAGATCTCATCCATCATGACTGGGACTCGTGTAAACTTGTTCACAGGGTCACCATAAGAGGAAGTTGACCTGACAACGTAACAACAATATTTCACGTTGTATGAGACTTTCCGGGTTTTCTTTCATTCTATTGTTCCCATGTTGTCCAATACTGTTTTTGGGCTTGCAGTATTCGAGAAACAACCTTTTCTTTCCCCCTCACCTGTGATTTGGACAACTCTGCATTTTTGAATGGGCTTTAGGAAGAAATTTCCATGGGCACCAGTGGGGAGTTTTTTCGAAACCACATTAACTAGATAGGATGTGATTTCTTTTGGTCCCCATTGTGCCCAGGAAGGAAAGGGGTCAGTTTCCTCTGCCCACACACTATTTTTCAAGTAACAACTCCCCTTCCTATTCTCTGAAGACCTAGAGACTGAGAGCAAGCATAGTATTATAGTACTGTTATGATTCAATGCATCATTGTGCTAGGAACAAAGAGATTTAAAAATATACTGAACGGTATATCTCGCTGGGATTTCAGAGGGAAACTTGGCTTCTGTTGTATGTCAGCCTGTTCAGCCTGTGATTGTGTCTGATGATCAGGTTGCTTTGGATGATTGGGAATGACAATGATGTTCATGTTCAATCTGATTTCCCTGATGGAAATGGGGCTACTGTCCATGAAGATGTTCCTAAGGGGAACTGAGATGATGGTCTATTTCCTGGGCCTGGTTTTGGAGATGTGGGGCCTGGATGCAGTTTAGATGATGGGTCACAGAGGCCTGTATTGCTGCAAGAGGATTATCAAGATTTTGAGCTTGGGAAAGGCTCTGCACCGTAGTTCCCTGGTCAGTTATCTCCAGGTGGAGATTTTAATGAAGGGAGTAGCGGCGAAGCTTTTACTCAGCAAAGGCAAACAAATCAACAATTAAGGCGCTCAGCCAGATTACAGCAGAAGTTAGAAGTGAAACCAAATTTAAGAAAGAATCATTTCCTAGCTGTTTGGGAATTAGGGCACGGATATAGGTGCCAAGTATGTGTTCTGTCTTCCAGGAGCTTGGTTTGCATTGCCCCTTAGTTGCATAAAATAACATCCCTTTGCATTTTCCTCAGGGTTGCAGCAGCACCCTAAAAGTTAATTATTAACAGAGGTTGGAAGTGTCAGAGTGAGACCCTGGGGTCTATGCGCAACGGAGTTGAGGTTACTAGATCACACAGACACAAAACAGGACACTGCAGTCTGCCAATCTTGAAAATAACGTTTACTTAGCACATCTTAATACACGTCTACTTCCAAGCGAGCTTAATCGGGAACTACTACAGGAACTACAAAGCACAACAATAGTACGGTTACAGAACATCTGCTTATCAGTTTCACTTTGGCTGTAAGCCGGCTACTCCCTAATTCTTCCCAGACAGAGAGAACTTGTTATCTTACTTCTGCCAAGGTCTCTTCTCTCTCTACCTCTCTGTCTCACACAACAACAATTCCAGCATACAGTTGAACATAACTGAATCCATCTTGAATACATATGAACACCATTGTTAAACATATTGAAACACATTGAAAAAACATACATGTATACTTTCAATAATCCTGACAGGAAGCCAGTCTGCAAGCCCTTGCAGCTATTGGTTTAAAAAGATATCCTTTTGGTTTAGAGACCTCCCTTTTTCCTGGGGATGAAATATCCATTTTGGAAAAAGCCCTCCTGCTTTCTTTAGTATAGAAAAAGCCTCAGATGTGCTGGTGGCCAAGGTAGACAGCTCGGACAAGCCATTGTGAGAACAATTGAGATTGAGATTAGGGTCGAGGTTACCCTCTCGCCTTTGAAACTGGCATTGAGCTCAGATAGAGAAAGACTTGCTCTTTCTAGAAGACAGTAGCTCATTGCTGGGGTAAGGAATATCTCCGGATTTCTCTGCCATTGAGAAAGGCTTCATTACTTCATCTCCAAACCTAGTCTTGAGCTTAGATAGGGGAAGACCTGCTCTTTCTGAAAAATAACAGCCCAGGGTTAGGATAAAAGATCCTGAAAAATGGCAGGGAGAAGGTTTGAGGAAAAGAGACAAAGAGAGATCCTGAGTACTGGAAAGCACGCTTTATTCTCGGTTGGCGCCAACCGGATATGGACCCCCTGGTAAACCAGGAAAGAAGGGTACAGAACAAAGGAAATGCTGAGTTTATATACCTTTTTGAAATAAGTATTCATGCATCATAGAAACATCACAATGTGCGTCACAAACTTCTACTTTTACATTGACTTCAATAGCATATTTTCAAATTCAACACTTTGTCAATCTTCATTAGTGTACTATCTAAAGAGTGGCTATTAATGAACTTCCAGCGCCAGGATGTCTCTGGACCTGATAGCGAGTTTCTCCATCCATCCTGAGATAACATATTCCTGAAACCTCTTAATGGACACTTCATTAGTCAGGCTTACGATAAGGTGCCTGGTTCCTGGTTCCGTATCTTATGGCCTCTTGAAATGCCAGGCACCACATTCATTTCCTGGATGCTGGCGTTTCTAATTTTGCAGCTTTTAAGAAGTCAAGTGAAATGGCCATGCATAGATACATTTCTCTTATATATTTTCTAACTCCTATTTCTTATATGGTTACATCAAATATATATTTTCCAATATGTGTATTATGTATTTTCATCAAGCCTTCATCAATCCCAGGATTTTTTCTACCATTGGGGATAAGTTAACTCGGTGACTGAAGGAAAAAGGAAAGAAAGAACATCTGTATGGTTTCTCAAATTGACTATTTGTGTTTGTAACTTCATCAAGCTGTGCCAAGTCTGCCAAGGACTTTGTAAAAGAAATGTTTTGTTGATGTTCAATTCTTGACTGGCTTCAGTTGCTGAGAATCTGGAGCTTCTAAGAAAGGCATCTGCGGTTCGCCCAGATAAAGAGAGAAGCACATCTTAGTTTTAACTTTATAGTGTCTGGGTGTGACAGCACAATACGGGATCTAGCTTCAGACAAAGCAACATTGGATTCATGTTAAGTTCTTCATGCCAAGTTCTTAGACTCTTGTCTTTGTTTGATTCATGGATTTAAGTGCCTTTGCTGTTATTTGCCTTTAAAATCAAGTATCTAGTTTCATGGACTTTTTTTGGATAATTTCTCTTTGGACTATTTGCTTCTGTTTCTTCCTAATCAATTGGATTACCTTTTACTGTGGATTACTTTTTATTGCTTTGGCTTTTGTTATCCTCAATAAACTGCTTGCTATTTTAACCCATCTGTGTAGTGTTTAAAGTCAGAGGGGATCCTGCTCTGGAATACAACAGCTTCTAGGTTGCTGGGTGTCAAAGTGTCTGAAGTAGGAATTGCTAGTGGTCTCCCACTGAAGTCCTAGCCAGATCTAACCCTTCTTAGTTTCCATGATTAAACAGGATTCTAGTACTGAAGGATATTTAGACCTGTGCACATGTGCCTTCAAGTCATCTCTCAGCTTATGGAGACCCAGTGAATTTCATAGATAGACAAAGAAAGGTCAAAGGAACATTTTCATGAGTGACATTAACAAATTACATTTAAAAATGTAAACATTCCAAGTTTGAGTTGCAGTTTTCAGGTGACCCCTTAGGATTCTATTTCTCTGATTTTTCTCTTCCTCTTCAGGGCAACCTCAACCGGTCTGTTGGCCAAAACGCTCTGAACACGCATTCTTCTAGGTCCCACTGCATCTTCACAATTTACATCGAGGTCAGTTCCCGGGGAGGTTCCAGGGTCTGGCTGGCTGCTTCTGTCCCTTCCAGAGTGTCCGAATGCTCTTGACCTCTCGCCTCAGTGTCATTCCAGAATCCTTTCCAATGCCCAGTACGTCACCTCCAAAATCAACCTGGTCGACCTGGCAGGCTCGGAGAGGCTGGCAAAGAGCAAAGTAAGTCGACCGCAAATGCTTTGTGAGTCAGCTCAACCTCATTTTGCAAAGAGAACAGGCATACCAGCTAAAGACAATGGTTGCCTGCTTTTGGAAATTGAACAGAGACTAGTAAATACTTGGAAAACAAAAAAGTAATTTCCAAGAAGAGTTGGATGGGAAGGCCTCTTGCCTGAAATCCTGAAATGAATAAATTGTCAATACTCAGCTTGGGTTGTTGTGAGTTTTCCGGGCTGTCTGGCCATGTTCCAGAAGCATTATCTCCTGCCACCTCTATGGCAGACATCTTCAGAGGTTGTGAGGTATATTGAAAACTAAGCAAGGGAGGTTTACATATCTATTGAGGGTCCACGGTGGGAGAAAGAACTCTTGTCTGTTAGAGGCAAGTGTGAATGTTGTATTTAATCACCTTGATTAGCATTACAAAGTCTTGAAGCTTCAAAGCCTTGCTGCTTCCCACCTGGGGGAAATCCTTTGTTGGGAGGTGTTATCTGGCCCTGATTGTTTCCTGTTTGGAATTTCCCTGTTGTTCTTTATTGTCCTGATTTTAGCCAATATTACTCAGCTTATTCTGATTGGCTGAGGCCCCTTCCACATTGCTCCTATATCCCAGACAAGAAACAATCAGGGCCAGCTAATCACCTCCCAACAAAGTACAGTATTCTCCCGGGCAGGAATCAGCCAGGGCTTGAAGCTGCAAGGCAATTCAATGCTAATCAAAGTGATTAATTACAAGATTCACACCTACTTCCAACAGACAAGGGTTCTTTCTCCCACCCTGGACATCATTCCACACATATATAAACCCAATTTTCCTTCTTTCCAACAGACCTCACAACCTCTGAGGATGCCTGCCATAGATACAGGTGAGACATCAGGAGAAAATGCTTCTGCATCATGGCCATAAAGCCCAGAAAACTCACAACCCAGTGATCTGGCCATGAAAGCCTTCGACAACACGTTAGATAGTAGTCCGTGTGTTGTGCCCAGAAGGACAGCAGATTTTTGCCTGGTGCACTGTAACCAACTAACACAAAGGTTTCAGAGGGTGAAAAACACCTTTAGAGGGTGAAAAACACCTGTGCAGAAAGGGCTGCCCTGGCAATCATTTGCAAAGCAAGCCCTCCATCAACCTATTTACAAGCCTTTTAAAAGCTTTCTAACTTACTCACAGCCTGTTTCTATCTGATGGGCTCTTTGCCACCTGCCTTGGCATTTGTTCATTGGCTGCCATTTACTCCCTACCTGCAAGAAAAGTTAATGCAATAGGTTTACACTTGCTACTAAAACATTCCACAGGTAGAGACTAACTCTAAATGACCTTGGGATGGTATCTACATTTTCACATGGACCAGCCACTCGTCCACAAACCTTCAGCAATAGCATGTTTGTAATCAATAGCTGTAGCGAATGGATGCACGGATGATGATGCTAGTCCTTGGCATGTTGGAAAGCACATAATGGCGGGGCAGCAATATAGTTAGCCTCAGAAGCACTGCTCTAAGGCATCCTCTTGGTTTTTAACAGTCCGAAGGCCGTGGATTGAAGGAGGCCACGTACATCAACAAGTCCCTCTCCTTCCTCGAACAAGTAATTCTTGCCTTGTCTGATCACAACCGAGAACACATCCCCTTCCGTCAGAGCAAGCTCACCTACACCTTGAAGGACTCATTAGGTAAGCCAAGGCCAGTGTTGTATGTCAGCTTGTGATTGTGTCTGATGTCTATGATGGTGGGCCTGGGTCTGTTGGCAATGGGGATGAGGGTTTGCAAGCTCAGTCGAGAGTCCCGAGCTGTCACAAGAAGATTCACAAGGCCACATTCCTGGGAGAGGCCCTACAGAGTCTTTCTAAGGGCAACTGCCTGAAGATGATTTGTCAGGTGCAGAAGTTAATGAGAGTCAAGTTAATGAGAGTGTAGATAATAATAATAATAATAATAATAATAATAACTTTATTTATACCCCGCCTCCATCTCCCTCAAGGAGACTTGGGACGGCTTACATAAGGCCACGCCCATCAATACAGTAGAACACAATATAAACACAAAAAACACAACAAAAAACAGAAAATAGAGTACATAAAATGCAAAACCAATATAAGTAAATGACACAGCAGCATAAAATCAAACATTAAACCACAATTAATCACACTGGGCAGGGCCAAATTCAAGGATAAAATTTTAAAACACTGGGGCTGTTCACATTGTGGAGACGGTAAGCATCTTGAGGTTTTTGGGACAGGACAGAGGGTGAGAATGCCTAAAAATAATGTCATCAGACTGTAAGGACATAAGTTGGACAATGTAAAAAGGAAGCAAGGCTTTTGTAAACAGAGACAGAGTTCTCAGGCGCAAAGAAGATCAGTTCATTTACAGGAAAAGAGAGATAAGAAACCTTTATCTAGTGGCAAGGTGAAGATAAATGCTTTCCTTTCAGTTTTGGGATCTGGAAAAGCTTTATATTGATTCATGGGAAAGAATTGCTTCAGTTGGGTCAACGTTGGAAATTCATGACGGTCTTGCTTTCAAGTGTTCTTAGTTTCATGTACCAGTAGGCTGTTAGGCTGTTAGGAATTGTGGGAGTTGAAGTCCAAAACACATGGAGGGCTCAAGTTTGTCTGTGCTTGAATTATTATTATTAAGTCCAAAACACCTGGAGGGAGGGCTGAAGTTTGTCCAGGTCTGCTTTAAATGCAGGAATGGCTCAAGAGCACTGAGTTATAACTCTGACTTTGCTTTACCTTCCTTCCTTTCTCTCGCAGGTGGGAATTGCAATACGGTCCTAGTGGCTAACATCTGCAGTGAGGCTGTTCACATTGTGGAGACGGTAAGCATCTTGAGGTTTTTGGGACAGGACAGAGGGTGGGGATGCCTAAAAATAAAGTCATCAGACTGTAAGGACATAAGTTGGAAAATGCCTGATTTATGGCTTACGTCAAGCAGCGGTCAAGCGGCTATAAGGCCAGCAGACTTGTCCACTTCCGCCAGATGGTAAGAAATGGGCGTTAGAAGCTCCTCACTAGCCTTTTCTCAGGCCCCTTGTACATTGCCATACAAAATCCAGATTAACTGCTTTGAGTTGCTGTATGGGCATGTTTCGGAAGCATCCTCGCCATACATTTCACCCACATCTATAGCAGGCATCCTCAAAGGTTGTGAGGTCTGCTTTTAACTGGATTACATGGCAGGGTAGACTAATATAATCCAGTTGAAAACAGGCAATCCATACTATCTAGTTTGGACTGTATTATGTGAGTCTACACATAATACCTTTGCCTTTGTTGTGAAGTGAATATAGGAACATTCAGACCCCATAACCTCTGAGGATGCCTACCATAGATACAGGCGAAACGTCAGGCGAGAATGCTTCTGGAACATGGCCAGACAGCCCAGAAAACTCCCAGCAACCCATTCATGTATAATTTATGTTTTGTTTTATTTTGCAGCTCTCCACCCTTCGGTTTGCTAGCAGAATGAAATGGGTGATGACGGAACCAGTTGTCAATGAAAAGTTTGACGCGGAGGTGTGTCCTGTCTCATTTCCACTTTTTTTTGTTGGCCAGGGAAGGAGAGTTTTGGTTAGTAACTAACCGGTTAAAAAGTCTGTTTTGTTCCTTTGAGCCAGAATAAGGATAGATGGAGGTGGGATGAGGGAGCACACAGGAATCTGAGAAAGGAGTGAACAAAGGAAATGCCATGTGGCCGGCGAGACAAAGGGGAAATCTCAAGCCAGTCTGATCTATCAACATGTGTAGACTGGGGTGATTGTTTCTTGGTGGAGATAGCTGAGTTAATCAGAGCGAAGGCAAAAGGTTTTTCGAGGACCTTTTGTCCTTCAGAGGAAATATGATTAAGGTTTTTGCCAAAGGGGCAAGCTGAGGGCTGGGCAATTCCTCCGAGGGCCACCAGCTGCCCAGGCTATTGTTCATGCAAAAGGAAGTTGTGGATAAAAAAAAATCCTGGAATGTTTGGGGCTTTGTAGTCCCTTTTGTGGAGTTTCTTCATGTATATAGGGGAAACAAAGGTCAGAAGAAAAGGGGAAAGGCTTCTGCCACACAAAGAAATCAGAAAACACATTTCATATATCTAAAGTTCATAAAAGGCAAGATTTCATAAGGTTTGTCCATGTGGGGGGGGGGAGAGTGTCCATAGGGGATGGCTAAAACGCAAGGGTGTTGCACAAAGGTCCTGGCAGGAGTTTTTGAGTGGCCCAAATGGACCTGGTGTCTCTGGAAACAAACTTTGCTCCCCGTCCTTAGAGAACTACAGCTCCCGAGAGAGGCAGAGACCCCAAGGTCTAGCTATTCCCGAAGTCTCATGGGGTCCTCATTGTTGTTAAGGCCATGGCAAATTGACCAAGACTTAACCCCTGTTGTGCAGTCTGGTACCTTTGTTCTTTGCAGAACTATAAGTCACCATCCCTTTTTTTGGGGGGGGGGCATGCTCGACGTAAGTGAGATTTGCATGGAAAGAATGATGCGGAAATGGCCGAGCCGAGGTTTCAAAAGGCAAAAGGAAATCAAGCCATCGTCTGGTCAGCTCTCAGCTGAAGGATATGGGCTCACTCACTTGCTTACTTTTGTCCTTGCCGTACAGCAAGGACTTGGCAGCCTTCCCTGAGAAATACTACAGCATAGATCAAGTAAAATATTAATTTTGTGCAAGTGTTCACATGGACATGGTTTGACATTGCCTTAAACTGCTTTGACCTTTATCTGAGCCATCTTTTTAAAAATACTAAATTGTTTTGTGTGCTCTTGGGCACCTTCTACACTGCCATATAATCCAGATTATCAAAGCAGATAATCCCCACATTGTCTGCTTTGAACTGGATTATATGATTTTACGCTGCAGATAATCTGGATTGTATATGGCCATGTAGAAGTGGCCTTTGTGTTATTCAATTACTCTTACCGCTTTAAATTGGTCTGAGATGTTTGCAGTTGGTTTTTACTGTACATCATCCTGAGGTCCTTGAGCTCCAGGAGCCAAATGGTAATATTTCCATACCATATTTCTTCGATTGTAAGATGCCCTCTAATTGTAGTGCCCCACTACTAACAATAAATACGTAAGATGCACCTGCGATTCCAAGACACATCCCATTTTTAGCAATGTTTGTATAGGTGGGTTGTGGTAGGTTTTTCCGGGCTATATGGCCATGTTCTGGAGGCAATTTTTTCCTGACGTTTCGCCTGCATCTATGGCAAGCATCCTCAGAGGTAGTGAGGTCTGTTGGAACTAAAGGGTTTATATATCTGTGGAATGGCTGGGGTGGGGCAAAGAGCTCTTCTCTGCTGGAGCTAGGTGTGAATGTTTCAACTGACCACCTTCATTAGCATTTGAAGGCCTGGCTGAGCCTGGGAAAATCTTTTGTTGAGAGGTGTTAAGATGTGCCTGGTTGTTTCCTCTCTGTTGTTTAGCTGTTGTAAATTTAGAGATTTTTAAAATATTACTAGCCAGATTGTGTTCATTTTCATGGTCTCTTCCTTTCTGTTGAAATTGTCCACATGCTTGTGGATTTCAATGGCTTCTCTGTGTAGTCTGACATGGTGGTTGTTGGTGTGGTCCAGCATTTCTGTGTTCTCAAATAATATGCTGTGTCCAGGCTGGTTCCTCAGGTGCTCTGCTATGGCTGACTTCTCTGGTTGAAGTAGTCTGCAGTGCCTTTCATGTTCCTTGATGCGTGTCTGGGCGCTGCGTTTGGTGGTCCCTATGGAGACTTGTCCACAGCTGCATGGTATACGGTAGACTCCTGCAGAGGTGAGAGGATCCCTCTTGTCCTTTGCTGAACGTAGCATTTGTTGGATTTTCTTGGTGGGTTTGTAGATTGTTTGTATGTTGTGTTTCCTCATCAGTTTCCCTATGTGGTCAGTGGTTCCCTTGATGTATGGCAAGAACACTTTATATAGGAAAAAGGTGCTTTTTAGAATCAAAGAAATACAGTAAATGAATATACTAAGGTCCCTTCTACACACCCAGATAAAATCCAGGAAAACTCAACTTCCTGATCCTTTTCAGGGTTTGAGCTAAGACCGTGATTGTGATGCCAGTCATTGAAAGTGCTTCTTTAGTGGTAGGAGTCAGTGAGAGATGCGCCCTTGGTTGCAAATAGGAAGTATCTGGAAGACCAAATGCACTTCTGAAGATTTCTTTTTCTCTATATACTCATCTGTCTTTCTTCTCATTTTGTTTAGAGAATGGTGAAAAATCTGGAGAAAGAAGTCCTTTACCTGAAGGAGGAGCTGGCGATGCATAACAGCTTGGTAAGGACTGGGCCCGGTCCTGTTCAACATCTTTATTAATGATTTAGATGAAGGGCTAGAAGGCAGGATCATCAAGTTTGCAGACGACACCAAATTGGGAGGGAGAGCCAAGACTCCAGAGGACAGGAGCAGGATTCAAAACGATCTTGACAGATTAGAGAGATGGGCCAAAACTAACAAAATGAAGTTCAACAGGGACAAATGCAAGATACTCCACTTTGGCAGGAAAAACGAAATGCAAAGATACAGAATGGGGGACAATGCCTGGCTCGAGAGCAGGACGTGTGAAAAAGATCTTGGAGTCCTCGTGGACAACAAGTTAAACATGAGCCAACAATGTGATGTGGCGGCAAAAAAAGCCAATGGGATTTTGGCCTGCATCAAGAGGAGCATAGTGTCTAGATCTAGGGAAGTCATACTCCCCATGCTCTATTCCGCTTTGGTTAGACCACACCTGGAATATTGTGTCCAATTCTGGGCACCACAATTCAAGAGAGATATTGACAAGCTGGAATGTGTCCAGAGGAGGGCGACTAAAATGATCAAGGGTCTGGAGAGCAAGCCCTATGAGCAGCGGCTTAAGGAGTTCCGGTGGAATCTCCTTTTCTGTAGTTTGAAGCCATTGTTCCATTGCGTCCTAGTCTCCAGGGCAGCAGAAAACAAGCTTGCTCCATCCTCCTTCCTAGGACTTCCTCTCATATATTTAAACATGACTCTCATCATGTCTCCTCTCAGCCTTCTCATCTGAAGGCTCAACATGCCCAGCTCTTTAAGCCGCTCCTCATAGGGCTTGTTCTCCAGACCCTTGATCATTTTAGTCGCTCTCCTCTGGACACAGTATTCCAGATTAGAGTCAATATCTCTCTTGAATTGTGGTGCCCAGAATTGGACACAATATTCCAGGTGTGTCTAACCAAAGCAGAATAGAGCATGGGGAGCATGACTTCCCTGGATCTAGACACTAGGCTCCTCTTGATGCAGGCCAAAATCCCATTGGCTTTTTTTGCCGCCGCATCACATTGTTGGCTCATGTTTAACTTGTTGTCCACGAGGATTCCAAGATCTTTTTCACATGTACTGCTCTCAAGCCACGTGTCCCCCATTCTGTCTCTTTGCATTTCATTTTTTCTGCCTAAGTGGAGTCTCTTGCATTTGTCACTGTTGAACTTCATTGTGTTAGTTTTGGCTCATCATCTCTCTCATCTGTTAAGATCGTTTTGAATTCTTTAAGATGTTTTATCTAATTTTAATTATTGTCATATAAATCTAAATATATTAATTTCATTAGGTTTGTGTAGGTAAGAGTTTGCTATGTTATATTATCCCCCTTTCTTCTCCTTTTGAACATGACACAGACTTTATGCACATGCGTACCCTGTTTCCCTGAAAATAAGACATCCCCTGAAAATAAGACCTAGTAGAGGTTTGCTGAATTGCGAAATAGAAGGCTTCCCCCAAAAATAAGACCTAGCAAAGTTTCTGTTTGGGAGCATGCTCCCCCTGGTGGCCAGAATCTGCAATACCCTCCCTGCTGTACAAGTGGTCCAGAAACAGTTTCTAAACAGTGTGTGAAAGCCAGAGACTTTACAGCCCTTAATTTTTGTGGCCCTGTGTGTGAGGGCCAATGTAATCTATATATATAAATTTCCTCCTGGCGTCGTATGAGGAAACAAAACTCAAAAACCCCCCAACGAAACTCCACCAAACTTCCCATGCCCCAAGGGCAACCAACAAGGTACAAACTAATCCACTCAGAAATCAAAAACACACAACAACAACCACAATAAACGGCAAAGCAACTGAGCATGCGCACTGGCGCAAACTCCCTGGCGCGCGCACACACATTGGGAACACATTCATTTAGAAGATTTCTATACCGGCCTTCTCAACCTCGGCGAGGGACTCAGGTCGGGTGCTTCCCGCATGAGGAAGAGGAGCAATGCTGAGGAAGGAGGCGGGGGCGCACTGACAACAGGGGGAAAGGCATGAAAAAGATGGGGGAGAATCCCAATCCACCCACACACCATCCTTAGGCCATTTAGCACCATAACACAGAAAGCTGCCATAAGGAGGCAACCACAGAGGGGAAAGATGGAGACAGTTAGTTGGAGAGTACAGATGGGTTCAGAGCAGGCATGGGCTCACTTGGGCCCTCGAGGTGTTTTGGACTTCAGCTCCCACCATTCCGAACAGCCTCGGGCCCTTTCCTTTTCCCTCTCGAAGGAAGGGGCCTGAGGCTGTTCGGAATGGTGGGAGCTGAACTCCAAAACACCTCGAGGGCTTCAGTGAGCCCATATCTGGTCCCAGAGCAAGAGGGCTGCAACAGAAGAGGCTTCAGGACTGGAAGGGAAGGGAAGTACTTTTACCTTTCGGAGGTAACTGGCCACTACCTGCTCGAAGGGGTAGTGGGAGATCTTGTGCGTCTCCACAGTCACCCCCATGGCTGGCCCAAAGAGCAGGAGGAGGAGGAGGAGGAGGAGGAGGAGGGGAAGGATGAGGGGAAAAGGGAGGGAGGAGAGGAGGCAAGAAAGGCATGAAGGGAGAAAATGGGGGAAGAGAGAAGGAAGGGAGAGAAGGAGGAGGGAGAGAGCCAAGGCTGACTCCAGGCTGTTGCCACATGGAGTTGTCCTGTGTGTGCGAGCGCGCGTGTACCCCACCAACCCCCCCCCCCTCCCAAGCAGCTCCCAAGGTCAAATTTCCACCAGAATTCACCTTTGGGCATATTGAGGATTCCTCCCAAGTTTGGTCCCGATCCATCTTCGTTTGGGTTCACAGTGCTCTCCGGATGAACAATTTCTCCTCCTCCTCCTCATTCTCTCATCCACACCAACGCCCCCTTCCCTCCCTCCACCCTTTCCTTCCTTTCTGTACTTCCCTTCCTTCTCCTTCCTTTAATTCTTTCCCTTCCCTTCCTTCCCTCCTTCCTCCCTCCCTTGCTCCTTCCTCCCTTTATCCCTTCCCTTCCTTCTTTTCTTTCCTTCCCTTTTCTCCCCCACCCCCCTCACCAGCTTCATCCTTCTTTATTAAATCTACACTTAGATGCACTCAAAGTCACCCCTTCCACACTGCCATGTAAAATCCAGATTATCTACTTAGGACTGGATTCTATGGCAGTGTAGACACACACACACACAGATATGGATGGATACAGGATCACTGGTTGGTGGTATATATCTATATTCTGTCTATCTATCTCTATGTATATACATATATACATATATATAATTACAATACTATATATATTACTATTATATATATTGCTATATAATACATAAATATTATATTATATATATTACTGTTATATCTATTACTATATAATATGTTACTACTATATGTTACTATATTAAATAGACTCCTAGAATAGAGTTAGAAGGGACTCTACCAGACAGGAGAGAAGTAGGAGGGAAGGAAGGAAGGAAAGAAAGAGGTACCGAAGGAAGGAAGGAAGAAGATAAAGTAGAAATGAAAGGAAAGGCAGGAAAGAGGTAAAGAAGGAAGGAAGGGAAAAGGAAATAAAAAGTGAAAGAAGCAAGACAACAGTGTAGGAAGACATGAGACGAAGAAGTAGAGAAAGGAGGAGGGAAGGAAGGAAAGAGAGGAGGAAGGATGAAACCAAAGAATGAAATAAGGAAAAGAAAGAGGTGGAGAAGGAAGGAAGGAGAGAAAGGGGAAGGGGAAGAAAAGGGGGAAGGAATAGGTAGGTACCTCTCTTTCATAATAGTCCAGATATCTACCTCTACTTCAAAAATTCTTACTATAGGCCACAGCAACGCGTGGCAGGGCACAGCTAGTATATTATATACTGCCAACTACTGTCCAGTATATAATAAATGTTGAATTTTTTTTCAATAAATGTGAATTCTTCTTCATGGAAAAGTAAGACATCCCCTGAAAATGAGAACTAGCACATCTTTGTCTTATTTTCAATGAAATAGGGTGTGTGTGTGTGTATCTGTCTGTCTATCTATCTATCTATCTATCTATCTATCTATCTATCTATCTATCTATCTATAAATGCTCTGTGCATAATGAGTACCTTAAAAACAAAAGAACCAATGAACAAAATCACACCAAATTTGGCAACAAAACGTCTCACAACACAAGGAGTGACCATCACTCAAAAAATTATGATTTTGTCATTTGGGAGTTGTAGTTACTGGGATTTATAGTTCACCTACAATCAAAGAGCATTCTGAACTCCATCAACGATGGAATTGAACCAAACTTGGCACACAGAACTCCCATGACTCCCATACTGGAAGGGTGGGCATTGACCTTGAGTTTGGTGGGCATTGAGTTTGGTGGGCATTGACCTTGAGTTTGGGAGTTGTAGTTCACCTACATCCAGAGAGCACTGTGAACTCAAAGAATGATGGATCTAGACCAAACCTGGCACATGCACTCAATACGCCCAAAAATGAACACAGATGGAGTTTGGGGGAAATAGACCTTGACGTTTGGGAGTTGTAGTCACTGGGATTCACAGTTCACCTACAATCAAAGAGCATTCTGAACCCCAGACAGAATCGTGGCAAACTTCTCACACAGAACCCACATGAGGTTCCAAAAAGTAATAAGTCAGTAAAAGGCAGTAACACAAAGCAATGTCCACTCAAGATGTAAAGGCAGTTCCAAGGCAGTGTTTATCCAGGCAGGAATCAAAAGGAGGCAAAGACAATCCAAAAGGCTAAATTCCTCCACATGAACAAGGCCCCATGAACAGGATTTCCGTGGCACATGAACTTGATTTCCAAACGTTGCCTGATCTAACAGGTTTTCCCTTGAAGCAAACCTTATATCCCAAAACTCAGAAACTGGTTTCACTTTCCCCCACATTTGCCCCTTATCTGACGAAGTCTTTCAGAGCGACGTAAGCACTGAGTTTGCTGTTGATCCTAGCTGATCTCCAGCCGCCTATCCTTCAACTCCCTATCTATCTGCTCATTAAAATTTCCAGGTGTCAGATTGTTTTCCAAACCCAAATCTTGAGAGCTCACAGAGAGAGGGAGTAAACCATCATCCCTAGGCTCAGCAGGAATAGTGTCATGAGAAGCTGCCCTTTGCACTGGGGCCTCTCTGTCATTGTTGGTATGAAAATCATTGACCAAACCATCTCCATCTTGCACCTCAGCCTCAGCACCATCATTACACTCATCATAAGCATCATGATCCTGGGACACAAACACAGGCTGGTTCCCAACAGCTTTCTGTCCAAGGTTTCACTACCCTCTCCCTCATTAACTCCTGCACCTGGCAAATCAATCTCAGCATCATTTTCAGACAGTTGTTCTGAGAAAAGCAGTGAGAGGTCTCTCCCAGGAATGTGGCCTTGCTCAGACCTCTCTTCTGAACTTAACTCTGGCCCGAGCAAACCTTCATCTCCAGGCCCATCATTAGGAACATCATCCCCATTCCCATCATGAACATCAACATGGACATCAGACACAATCACAGGCTGACCAGGCTGACCTACAACACTATTCTGAGCAACTGCGGTTGATGCTCAATGTCATAACCAGCTCACCTTTGTGACATCACAGAGTCATGGAACAATCGCCTTAGAAGGGACCTTGAGGACTGTCTCCTCCAACCCTGCGCATGCAGGATATATGGAGAAAGCATCCCTGAGAGATGACCATCCCGCCTCTATTTAAAGAAGGCAAATCCACCACCATCCATTCTGCTGTCAAATATGCAATTACCTTCAAGAAGTTCTTTCTAGTGTTTAGGTGGGATTTATTTCTCTGGTGCAGCTTCTAAAGCTTTCACTCCAATCTTTGTTTGCAGAACAAGCCACCTTTTTCAGAATCCAATTCTCACAAGGACAGAAGGTGAAACTTTCTGAACAGGGCACAGACAGCAAAGCAAAGGCCACAGGGGTGTTAACCCTTCCCTATACTGTCCAAAGATAGATAGATAGATAGATAGATAGATAGATAGATAGATAGATAGATAGATAGATTGATGGATGACTGGAGTTACACTTAAAAATGTTCCTGTTCTGACTTACATACAAATTCAATTTAAGAACAACCCTACAGAATCTGTCTTGTTCGTAATTTGGGGACTGCCTGTAATCCAGTTCAATCTGCATTATATGAGGCTGGATCTACACTGCCTTATATCCCAGGTTCTGATCCCAGGCCACTTCTGCACTGCCATGTAATCCAAATAATCAAAGCAGATAATCCACATCTGCTTTGAACCGGATTATATGAGTCCACACTGCTATATAATCCAGCTCAAAGCAGGTAATCTGGATGTTATATGGCAGTGTAGAAGGGGCCCCAGATTATCTGGCAGTGTAGACTCATATAATCCAGTTCAAAGCAGATAAATCTGGGATCGGATCCTGGGACATAGGGTGATGTTGATCTATCTTGAATCTACAACTAGCCGTTATAATCCAGTTCAAACTGCATTATATAGCAGTGTAGACGATGCCTTAGGTAGTTCGGAAGGGGAGCTTAGGTCCCTTCTACACTCATAATCTAGATGATCAAAGCAGATGATCCATATACAGCAAACATTCAGTGCTGTTGTACAAAGACAAGACAGACAACTCTGTGTGTGTGTGTGTATAATGTGCTTTGAACTGGGTTACCTGAGTCCACGCTGTCATATGATCCATCTCAAAGCAGGTAATCTGAATTTTATTTGGCAGTGTAGAAGGGGCCTCATATAATCCAGTTCAAGGCACTTAAACCACCTTCTGGAGCTGCATTATATAAGTTGTGGGTGTTGTCATTGACCTCATTTTTTGTTTTCTTTTCGTGTCAGAAGTGACTTGAGAAACTGCAAGTCGCTTCTGGTGTGAGAGAATTGACCATCTGCAAGGACGTTGCCCAGGGGACGTTGCCCAGATGTTTTGATGTTTTATTATTTATTATTTACAGCATTTATGTACCGCTTTTCTCACCCCTAGGGGGAATCAAAGTGGTTACCATCCTTGTAGGAGGCTTCTCTTATGTCCGTGCATGGGGAGCTGGAGCTGACAGAGGGAGCTCATCCGCACTCTCCCTGGATTCGAACCCCTGTCGATCTTCAGTCCTGTGTTTAGCCCATTGCACTAAAGGGGGCTCCTACCTCGTTGCGTTGGTTTTAGTGGACTCCCCTGTGTCTTCAATGCAGGAGGCAGAAAGCAATGCAAAGGCGACCAGGATAACACCAAGCATCCTTTCGCACAGGTGAAGGAAGGATGAAATGGCCCCCAAATGAATGTATTTCCTTTTCCTGTCCTGTTCTAGCTCAACCGCGCCCCAGTGTCCTATGAGCCCCTGAATGAGATCCAGATCGGAGAGATCCACTCTCAGGTTCGCCGGTTCCTTGACGGGACCATCGATGAATTAGACGTAAGTAGTTCCCTTGCAAGTTCCTCTTCTCCTCTGCTTCTTTTCTTTCTCTTCATTTATATTCTTTTCCCTTTCTGCATTTCGATAGATGCAGACATTTTAAAATCAGCACCCCTATTGAGTTATCAAGACAGGCTTTGGAAGGGGAGTCGGTGTTCTGTCACGCGCTGGGCCTGTAATAATTGACTTTTGAAATAGGACATGCACCTTGTGCCCAGCAGGAAGCCAGGGGCGCCTCGAAAGAGGCCTTTAAGGATTTTCCTGTAGAGATAGTCTTTAGAGTCTTTAATGACCCTGTTCAACGGAGAAAAAGTTGCCGGCCTGAAAATAGTTGTTCTTTTATGATTTTGGGGTGCTGAAAACGAAAATGACATTTAAAAATGTATATTGGCTCTAGTTTTTATGATATAAGCAATCACGTGATCACGTATGGTTGAAAAAATGCATGTTGCGACTTACACTATGGAAGATTCTAGAATATTCTAGGAAGTTTGATGATGCAGGATTAGTGCCGTGTGCAAAAGCCAGAAAGCCCTCTATAAGGCCAGACTTTTGAACGGTGAGGGTCAGTTAGTTGAAGACTGAGACAGTATCGTTAAACATCGTTTTACATTGTTCTTTTGACTGTAGTTATGCCTCGCACGTGTGTAAATAAAGCACTATGGAAAAAAGATATCAAGGCCAATGGACTCCGTCAATGCTGTCAGACTCCTGCTGGAGCATTGGAAGAGGGAATCCTTTCCTTGAATACAAAAGAAAAGTCAAGAGAAGCAAACAGGATAGAAACTAAAGTCACGATTAAAGCGACATTTAAACTTTCAGACTTTTCAACTGCATTAGGCCTACTAATATAGTTTCTTGCTGCACAAACATAAACAATAGACTAATTAAATAAATATTTCTCATGTATAAACTATTGGCAATATAATTTGACTAAAATTTAGTAAATATTCACGGTTTATATACATGCAGTAAGGTTAGGCGCATTATCATAATATTAACGAATTACCTATTGTGGAGAAAATTGAAATAGCTGTTGCATAAAAACCAGAGCCAATTAACACATTTAATTATTATATTTGAATTCAGCATGTTAAATTTATTAAGAAACGGCAAATTTTGTTTCCGCAACTGAGAAAAACTGAAAATTTGTAGAACAGTGTGATGTAACAAAGTCCTTTATTATTGAACAAATCCAACAGATATTTCTCAGATCTTCAATAGGTCAAACAAATGCTTCAAGGCTTTGAATTAACTGGTGGCTTCCTTAATCTTGTCCACGAGGGACAGGCAACTGTCTTCATTAACTGTTCCTTTACTTTAGAGGAAAACCCTTTTTTTAACCTCTTCCAGGCTGACTATAATCTAATTCTTACTGATGTGGGTCCTACTACCGGATTCAAACTGTGTCTTGAGCACCGAGTAGACCTACCAGTAAAGGCTTGCAGATTCTCCAGCTGGAGTTCTCTGGGTCTGTAAAGCTGTTTTCCTTCTGGAATTTCCCTGGAATTTCCTGGACTTCAGTTTCCCTGGATGGTCTTAAGAAATGAAGTTTTTGTGTAGGTGAAGCTTGTCCACGTCCTCTAACTTAGCTTTCCTCACTAAGACTAACTAAAAATGGCCCCCTCTTCCCATCTCCCTGGGAGAAGGGGCGGATCCAAATTTAACAATGATAGACAGGTGGCTTGCCCTATGACTGCAAACCAAAGGAAGCCACCTTTTTGCAGAATCCCTGAAACTTTGGAATGCATGCAAACACTTAATAGAAAGAAAATAAAGTTGGAGCTCCTGATACAGACATACCAGCACAGTCGGAGTGGATCACAGAACACATATAAGGCAAACATTCAGTGCCGTTGTACAAAGACAAGACAGACAACTTTTTCTTTATTAATATCCCTGTGGCTATTATTATTATTATTATTATTATTATTATTATTATCATCATCATCATCGTCACAACAAGATGAGTTCACAACAGACACTCTGCTAGCTATTGAATTGGATCACACGTTGGGCACTTCCCAAGTGTCTAGACTGTGTGATGTATCGGTGCATAATGTGTGCAGACCCCAATAAAGTGGCCTTCTGCAGCTGGCAGATAGTAATTTTGTTAGTGCCGATTGTGTTTAAATGCAGGCCAAGGTCTTTAGTACTTACTTAGGCGATCCCTCGTTGGACGAGTAAGATGGTCTTCCATCATGGGTTTCCTGTAGGTCCGTATGTGGCTGTGGAGCCCTATTCTTGCTCTGCATCTTCTTCCGCAGTGAGGGCATTGGTTTCCAGGTGGAAGGCGGTCCCGGTCGGGGTTGGCTTGACGCGCCTTCCTCCTGGCACGTTTCTCTCTTTCACCCTCCACTCGTGCCTCCTCAAATTCTGCAGCACTGCTAGTCACAGCTGTCCTCCAGCTGGAGCGCTCAAGGGCCAGCGCTTCCCAGTTCTCAGTGTCTATGCCAGAGTTTTTAAGGTTGGCTTTGAGCCCATCTTTAAATCTCTTTTCCTGTCCACCAACGTTCCGTTTTCCGTTCTTAAGTTCAGAGTAGAGCAACTGCTTTGGGAGACGGTGGTCAGGCATCCGGACAACGTGGCCGGCCCAGCGGAGTTGATGTTGGAGGACCATCGCTTCAATGCTGGTGGTCTTTGCTTCTTCCAGCACACTGACGTTTGTCCGCTTGTCTTCCCAGGAGATTTGCAGGATTTTCCGGAGGCAGCGCTGATGGAAACGTTCCAGGAGCTGCATGTGACGTCTGTAGACAGTCCACGTCTCACAGGCATATAGCAGGGTTGGGAGGACAATAGCTTTATAAACAAGCACCTTGGTCCCTACGGATGTCCCGGTCCTCAAACACTCTCTGCTTCATTCTGGAAAATGCTGCACTCGCAGAGCTCAGGCAGTGTTGTATTTCAGTGTCGATGTTGACTTTGGTGGAGAGGTGGCTGCTAGTGGAAATGGTCCACATTTTCTAATGTTACACCATTAAGCTGTATTACTGGCATTGGAGAGGGATTGGCTGGTGACTGCTGGAACAGCACCTTGGTTTTCTCAATGTTCAGTGACAGGCCGAGCTTCTCGTATGCTTCTGCGAAGGTGTTTAGAGTGGCTTGTAGATCTTCTTCTGAATGCGCACAGACGACATTGTCATCAGCATACTGGAGTTCTATAACAGCTGTTGTTGTAACCTTGGTTTTGGCTTTCAGTCTGCTGAGGTTGAATAGCTTGCCATCTGTCCGATAGATTATTTCCACTCCGGTGGGAAGCTTCCCATCAACAAGGTGACGTATCATAGCGATGAAGATGGAGAATAGAGTTGGGGCAATAACACATCCCTGTTTGACACCTGATTCCACCTTAAATGGGTCACTTTGGGAGCCACTGCTGTCCAAGACTGTTGCCATCATGTCATCGTGGAGGAGCCGCAGGATGTTCACAAATTTGTTTGGGCACCCGATTTTGTGGAGGATGGTCCAGAGAGCGCTGCGATTCACTGTGTCGAATGCCTTTGCAAGGTCGATGAATGCCATGTACAGAGGTTGGTTTTGTTCTCTGCATTTTTCTTGGAGCTGTCTTGCAGTGAAGATCATGTCCACGGTTCCTCTGGAGGGGCGGAAGCCGTTCTGGGATTCTGGGAGGGTGTCTTCTGAGAGGGCAGAAGGCGGTTTGCAAGGATTCTTGCGAGGATTTTCCCAGCGGAGGTTAGAAGGGAGATACCTCGATAGTTTCCGCAGTCTGTTCTTTCCCCTTTTTTGAAGAGGGTGATGATGGTGGCATCCTTGAAATCTGCTGGGATTTTCTCGGTCACCCACACTTTTTCTATGAGCTGGTGGAGTTGTTGTGTCAGCTCAGGTCCTCCCTCTTTAAAGATTTCAGCAGGGATCCAATCAGGTCCGCTGGCTTTGTTATTTTTTTGTTGGCTGATGGCATTGCTGACTTCTTCCAAACTAGGCAGTGCTGCAAGCTCATCCCTGGTTTGTTGTTGTGGGATTTGTGAGAGGACCTCTTCGGCCACATTGGAGCTGCGGTTCAGGAGGCTTTGGTAGTGTTCTTTCCAACGTAGTGCAATTGAGTTTTGGTCATTCAGGAGTTTGGTTCCATCTGATGAGCGTAGAGGCTGTATGCCATGGTTTCTTGGTCCATAGATGACCTTTGTGGCTTTGAAGAAATCCCTGAGCATCATGGGTATCTGCCAGGTGTTGGATTTCTTCAGCCTTCTTTGTCCACCAGATGTTCTTGAGTTCTATTGCCTTCTTTGGACCTCAGCTTTTGCACTGGCATAGATCTTTTTCTTAGCAGCACAGTTGATGTCTCTCTGCCATGCTTGGAAGGCTTTCCTTTTCTTGTCAATTAGCTGTTGGATCTCGATGTCATTTTCATCAAACCAGTCTTGATGTTTCTTGGCTTGGTATCCAATAGTTTCTTCGCAGGCTTGGATGATGGAGGTCTTCAGTTTGTTCCAATGTTCCTCGACATTTTCGGGATGTACTGTGGGTAGATGGTCCTTGAGTGCTGTTTGGAGATGGGCTCGTCTGGAGGGCTCCTGAAGGGCTTGGGTGTTCATTTTGCGCCTTGTCTTCCTTCCTTGGAGTCTGCGCTTGGGAGCGATCTTGAGAGCCATCGAGGATCGAATTAGCCTGTGGTCAGTCCAGCAGTCGTCAGCACCTGTCATGGCTCTTGTGAGGAGCACATCACGGAGGTCTCTGGCGCGTGTGATTACATAGTCTAAGAGGTGCCAATGCTTTGACCGGGGGTGCTTCCATGATGTCTTGAACTTGTTTTTCTGGTGGAAGAGCGTGTTGGTGATGACAAGGTTGTGCTCCGCACATTTGGTGAGAAGCAGGATGCCATTTGAGTTGCTGTTTCCAACCCCGTCTTTTCCGATGGTCCTGGCCACAGGTCGAAGTCTCGCCCGACTCTTGCATTGAAGTCCCCCAGGAGGATGATTTTGTCCTCCTTAGGTATCCCCGATAGGACGGTGTCCAGCTGACAGTAGAATTTCTCCTTGATGTCTTCGTCAGCATCTAGTGTTGGTGCATAGGCACTTATGATGGTTGCCCGTTGGTTTTTGGCAAGATCGATTCGGAGGGTTGAGAGTCGTTCGTTGATGCCAGTGGGTGCTTCGGACAGATGTTTCACCAGATCATTCCTGATGGCAAGCCAACTCCGTGCATTCTTTGGTCTTTTTCGGGCAGTCCCTTCCAGAAGAAGGTGTAGCCTCCTTTTTCTTCCTTCAGCTGTCCCTCTCCTGCTCTCCAGGTCTCCTGAAGGGCTGCTATGTCGATGTTGAAGCGTCCCAGCTCCCTTGCAATGATGGCAGTTCTGCGTTCGGGGCGTTCACTGCCACTGTTGTCCATCAGAGTCCGTACGTTCCACGTACCGAAGTTCATTTTCCTTTTTGGCCGCAGGGTGGTGACCCCACTGGACGCGGCAGTCCAGTCAGGGATAAGTGAGGCAGACTATGTTTAGGGCACCTTTTCTAGCCCCCTCCCCATGTGGGGTGAGCAGAGTGGGTCCTCAATAGGGCTGCTCAGTCGCGGATACAGCTGCCGAACTACTCAACTGCCTCGGACCTTGAGGTCGAACGACTGAGTCCGTACCCACCGCCCATGTGCCAGTCTGTGACTAGGGGCTTCCAGATTTCACAGTCCTGCCCCCGTCGCCACTCGCTGATCGCCATGGGACTTTGGTTGGTTTGTTTTTATTTTCTTTGGAAGACGCCTGTGCGTGGGTTTTTTTAATGTGTGGAGGTCAGTGCACAACTGATCAACACACAGACTTCACAGAGTGAGGTTCCACTGGTGATGTAGTTTAACACAATGACCGTGGCTTCTCAGTCTGTTGCAGCCTTCTTCCGCCTTCGCAGCCGTTGTAACATGTGCCATGTTATCCTCCGCCTGCTCCGCCGTTGAGGTCTTTGGGTCTTCATCATCATCCACTTACTTCTGTGACCACTGGTATAGAGGACCAACTGTTAGTTCTCATATGATTTATTACTTCAGGAGTGCATGTGATCTTATCAAGAGTATTAAGAAAACCAAAGAGCTATTACGTTTGCAATAAAAACTGTTCAAGTCTTTACATTCACAAGTGATTTTCTACAGGAATATTGCAAAATCTTTTGTTAAAAGACTTGGTTTAGCTGCCCATAATAACATCCATTTGAAATCATGGTCTCAAAATTTTTCAACTTTCCTGAAAGGCCAATTTGAGATGGAATCAAGAGATGGCAAACCAGTATGTCACTCTCTAAACCTAGGGCTGGCAACATATGTCTAGAATGGAACTCATACTCTCAAGTTCCCTTAATAGTGCTACCAAATTTTCACTGAATCATGGAGCTGGAAGGGGCTGCAAAGGCCAATCCCACACCCCACTCAAATCAGGAAGCCTAGCTAGTGTATCCCTAGCAGGCAGCTGTCTGCACCCTACTGCGGTAAAGGCAAAGTATGACCACTAAAAGATTAGGTGCTCAATCTATAACTTCAGGAAGACATCTACCTTTATTCTAGAGCAGTGTTTCCCAACCAGTTGTCCTTGGACCACAGGTGGTTCTCAAGAAACCCCTCTCTTTTTGCCTAATGTTGAATCCTTCCTTCCTTACTCTTGAGGAGGCTGCTGCTGCTGCTGCCAGAACCCCATTCAAAGCCTTCCTCTTTCAACCCAGCCATCCCCTCCTGTTGCCTGGGCCCGCAAGGATGGAAGCATCTAATGTCGGACAAAGAAAGGGGGCAAGAATGGCAGTGTTGGACCCTTCCTTGCTTTTCCGAGCCGGAGGCTGCCGCCGCCAGAGCCCCAGAATCTATTTTATACAATTACCACTGGGACCATCAGTTTTCTTGTTTTTCTGTCCAGATCATCCAGCTCTGCTGCTTGTGTCCAATTCACAATTATTATTATTATTATTATTAGTCACAACTATTTATTACACACATCTCCCTGTGACTATATATTACAATAAAGTATTGTTATTATTTATTACTCACCTCTCTCCATGACTCTTCTTAGTATTATTTATTAATCTCCCTGTGGCTTCTATTATTATTATTATTATTATTATTATTATTAATAATAATAATAATAATAATAATAATAATATTCTACGATTAATCAAATCTGCAAAAGTTAAACCTGCAAACATGAAATGAGGATTTTTTTGGTTATTCATGCCCTTTCCTCCACCATTTCCATATAATCTCATCCTTCAATAACCTTTTTAGTCATCAAAACAAAGACTTCCCAAGTTGTTTTCTTTTCCTCTTAAAATGTCTGTAAGGGATTCCCAAGACTTTGAAATGTGTCTTCTTTGTTTTGACCTGTCTTCTCAGATTGTGAGCATCCGGCAGATCCACGAAGTGTTCAACCAGTTCAAAACAATTTTGAAGTAAGTGTACGTACTGTGACCGATTCTGATCACCACAATTCAAGAGGGATATCTATGGAGAAACTGGAACATAATAATATTATTATCTATATAAATAAAAATGTAATGTTCGTTTGTGGGATTAACAGAACTCAAATACCACTGGACAAATTGACACCAAATTTGGACACAAGACACCTAACAACCCAATGTATGTCTTTCACTCAAAAAAATAGATTTTTGTCATTTGGGAGTTGTAATTGCTGGGATTTGTAGTTTACCTACAATCAAAGAGCATTCTGAACCCCCCCCCCCCCCAAAGATAGAATTGGGCCAAACTTCACACACAGAACCCCCATGACCAACAGAAAATACTGTGTTTTTTCGTGGTCTTTGGCGACCCCTCTGACCCAACCAGGGGTCCCCACCCCAGGTTGAGAAACGCTGAACTAGAAAGAAGAACAACTTAGAAACTTGAATACATGAATTCCAAGAATACCAAAGAACCGAGCTGTTCACCTGGATACAATGTTGCTTGTACCAGTAGGAGCCACTTTAAAAGGCCTCCATCCTTCCCATCACATCATTTCTCATACACCTGCATTTCCTTTCCTTATCTCTAAGCCTCTGGGAAAAGCGAGTCTGTCTTTGTTGCATGCTCTGTCTCCACAGTTCCAAGTGCCTTGACCTAGACAAACATTCGTCTCCCACATTTCTCTCAGCCTGCACTTCTAGCAGGTTCTCATGACCAAACTCTACACGAATACTCAATGTGCCCAAATGTGAACACTGGTAGAGTTTGGGGGAAATAGAATCTTGACATTCGGGAGATGTAGTTGCTGGGATTTATAGTTCACCTACAATCACAGAGCATTCTAAATCCCACCAACGATAGAATTGGGCCAAACCTCCCACACAGAACCCCCATGTGGGCCACAGCAACTCATGGCAGGGGACAGCTAGTTAATAGTAATAACATTTTATTTATTGCCCACCTCTCCTGATGGCTTGAGGCGGAGTACAACAAATAAACACACAAATAAACATATGTATTTATTTATACTAAGCACAGCTACACAATTGACATATTGTGGTAATAGAATGTAAATCAAAAATCATGATTGAAAGTTGTTATTGTTGTTATCAATAATATCCCACTTCGATCTCTTAGTTGTTTATTTAAGGCTTGCCTCCAGCCTCCCAAGAGACCCTTCTCTTGCATGAGAGTCCTGCAAGCAGAGAGAGCTTGCAAAGAGCCTTGAGGTGCATCTACACTGAAGAATTAATGTGGTTTGACACCACTTTAACTGCAGTGGCTTCATGTTATGGAATCCTAGGACTTGTCCTTTGCTGAGGCGCTGGTACTCTTTTGGAAAAGAAGGCCGAAGATATTGGAAAACTGCAACTCTCACAGCATTGTGTTCTCAAGTGCTTTCATGGCTGGAACGATTGGGTTGCTGTGAGCTTTTTGAGCTGTATGGCCATGTCCCAGCAGCATTCTCTCCTGACGTTTCACCTACATCTGTGTCTAATTACATCATGAGAGGTTCTGTTGGCAGTGAAGCAAGTGGAGTGTGTGTGTGTGTGTATATATATGTGTGTGTGTGTGTGTGTGTGTGTGTGGAGAAAAACTCACAACAGCTCTCATAGCATTGAGCCATGATCCTTAAAGTGATCTCGAAGTGCTATAATTTAACTGTGGGTGCCAAGCATCTGCCTTTACTCACAGCAGCCCAATTGAGCCATTGTGTGTGTCTCTGTCTCCCTTTAGCCAACAAGAACAGGAGGTGGAGTCCAGATTGCGGAGCAAATACACCCTGATAGACAAGAACGACTTTGCAACCCTCTCCGTTGTGCAAAAGGTCAGCTGGTGGGACTTTAATTCACATCTGGGTCTCTGTATAGGACATCAAGGGGGGTGCCTTTCCTGGTATGGCATCATCCCCTCCTGTTGCCTTAAAAGACAGTAAATCCTTAATCAGGGGTGGCCAAAATGTGACATGTGATCTTTCAGTGGCCCCCAGGCCTGCTATTATTGTTGTTGTTTCTATATTATTTTATTATTATTACCATTATTATTTCTATATTTTATTATTATTATTATTACAATTACTATTTCTGTATTATTAATATTATTTCTATACTATTTTATTATTATTACCATTATTATTTCTATATTATTATTGTTTCTGTATTATTTTATTATTACCATTATTATTTCTATATTATTGTTTCTATATTATTTCATTATTATTACAATTATTATTTCTATATTATTATTATTTCTGTATTATTTCATTATTATTACCAGTATTATTTCTATATTATTATTTCTATAGTTTTTATTATTATTACAATTACAATTTCTATATTATTATTATTTCTATAGTGTTTTATTATTATTACCATTATTATTTCTATATTATTATTATTCTGTATTATTTCATTAGTATTACCATTATTATTTCTATATTTTATTATTATTACAATTACAATTTCTATATTATTAATATTATTTCTATAGTATTTTATTATTACCATTATTATTTCTATATTTTATTATTACAATTTTTATTTCTATATTATTAATATTATTTCTATAGTATTTTATTATTATTATCATTATTATTTCTATATTATTATTTCTGTATTATTTTATTATTATTACCATTATTATTTCTATAGTATTTTATTATTACTACAATTACTATTTCTATATTAATATTATTTCTATATTATTATTATTTCTGTATTATTTCTATATTTTATTATTATTACAATTACTATTTCTATATTATTAACATTATTTCTATAATATTTTATTATTATTACCATTATTTCTATATTATTATTATTTCTGTATTATTTCATTATTATTACAATTATTATTTCTATATTATTATTTCTATAGTGTTTTATTATTACCATTATTATTTCTATATTATTATTTCTGTATTATTTTATTATTACCATTATTATGTCTATATTATTATTGTTGTTGCTTTTCTCTCTTAAAGAGTCTCAAAGCAGTGAATAGTGGTCAAAACAAGTCTGCATGAATTTTTGTGAACCTTTTGTTTTGCTCTCAAATGCCGTATTATTATTATTATTATTATTATTATTATTATTATTATTTGAAACACAACAAGATGCATCCACAGCAGACACTCTGCTGGCTGTTGTATTGGATCACACCTCGGACACTTCCCAAGTCTCTATGACTGTGTGATGTATTGGCAAATAATGTGTGCAGATCCCAGTAAGGTGGCCTTTTGCAGCTGGCAGATAGTAATTTGGTCAGCGCCGATTGTGTTTAAGTGCAGGCCAAGTTCTTTAGGCACTGTACCCAGTATCACCACTGGGGCCACCTTGACCGGCTTATGCCCGCCTCCTCCTGCAGCTCGAAGCAGGGTACAACATCATTAAAACAAGAGATAGCACACTATTAAAATACATACAACTAAATACACAGAGTTAAAATACAAAGAATACACTATTGGAAATACATTACAGAAGAGACAGGCTAGATTCCAAGAATTTTGATCTTGGGTCCGAATATAATGAACTGAAGAGTAAATAATGTGGCAAATGCTCAATTTTGGGGCCCCACAAATTGGTTTTGTGGGATGTGGCTTCCACAGTTACCTAACCTGTTGGTAGGTAACTTAAAAGCAAGAATGCATGGAAGGGGATGTATTTTGTCCCATCAGCACAATTCCAAGAAATGCATATTTCCGAGGTGGCATCTTCAGGGGATTCTCTGAAGATGCAATTAGCCACAGATGCAGGCGAAACATCAGGAGGAAATGCTGCTAGAACACGTTGGCCATACAGCCCAGAAACCACACAACCATGCACATTTCTTCTCTTCCCAGGCCGGGCTGGTTGATGCCGAGGGCCACCTGGTCGGGGAAGTCGATGGCCAAGGCTTTGGGATCGGAGTGGCCCCGTTCTCCTCCAAACCGGGAGGGAAGAAGTCCAAATCGAGGAAAGGCAAAGACCTCACCAGGTGGGTCCCCTCTTGGCCCCACTCTCCTCTCTCCACCAGAGGAAGGGTCTCTGATGGGGAGATGATGGGAATAGGGTCTATCGTTGGTACTACTCAGCCTTTCTCCCAATCGGTCTGGAGGCCAACCTTAGGAAGATAGGGAGTACATTGTGATTGTGTTTATTGTAATTTTATATTGTTATGTATTCATATGTGTTATGTAATTATGATATTGTTGTTTATTGTTTGCGTTTTCGGTTTTAATCTGCTGTCATTTGTTGTCTGGGCTTGGCCCCATGTAAACCGCCTCAAGTCCCCAGCGGGGAGATGGTGGTGGGGTATAAATAAAGTATTACTATTATTATTATTATTATTACAGGCCATCCCCAAGAGGAGCCTCGGGAGGGCAGGGGGAGGAGGCAGGCCAGGCAAGAAAACACCAGCAAAGCTCTCCAGACAGGTAGCCTGGCAGCCATATCACACACTCATACACACACACACTCACACACACACATATACAGTGCTCCCTCACTTATTGTGGGTGTTATGTTCCAAGACCACCCGCAAAAAGTGAAAATCTGCAAAGTAGGGACGTGCTCTATATATATTACATTCCATGCACTTTTTTTTTTTTGCTAGCTATAAGGAAGGGGCTATAACCCACTGTTGCATTCCAGGTCAGGAAAAAAGCCCTCTGACTTTAAAGCACACCACACGATGAGTGAAGAAACAAATCCTCTTTTATTGAAGCTTAGTAAAGAGCCAGTAAAAACAAATGCTTGTAAGGAAATAAGAAGGTTCCAAAAAGTAATAAGTCCGTAAAAGGCACTAACACAAAGAAATGTCCACACAAGATATAAAAGCAATTCCAAGGCAGTGTTTATCCAGGCAGGAATCAACAGGAAGCAAAGACAATCCAAAAGGCTAAAATTCTCCACATGAACATGACCCCATGAACAGGATTTCCATGGCACATGAACTTGATTTCCAAACGATGCCTGATCTAACAGGTTTCCCCTTGAAGCAAACCTTATATCTCAAATCCCAGAAACTGGTTTCGCTTTCCCTCACACTTGCTCCTTATCTGACGAAGCCTTTCGGAGCGACATAAACACTGGGTTTGCTGTTGGATGATCTCCAGCTGCTTATCCTTCAACTCCCTATCTGTCTGCTCATTAACATTTCCAGGTGTCAGATTGTTTTCCAAACCCAGATCTTGAGAGCTCACAGAAAGAGGGAGTAAACCATCATCCCTAGGCTCAGCAGGAATATTCTCATGAGAAACTGCCCTTTGCTCTCGGGCCTCTCTGTCATTGTCTGCATGAAAATGATTGACCAGACCATCTCCATCTTGCGCCTCAGCCTTGGCACCATCATTACTCACATCTTAAGCATCATGATCCAGGAACACAAACACAGTCTGATTCCCAACACCCCCTTCCACACTCCATTGTTGTCAGGAGGCAAAAACCCACGAAACGGGAAGTCTGCGAAAAGCGAACTACAAAGTAGCAAGGGAACACTGTATACATACACATAGAAACACACATGGTAGATATTGTAACTCTGGAAGAGACCCCGTAAATACAGTAGTGAAACGCCGGGATACCAAAAAATCCACAAATCTGGGGGAAAAACCAGCAACATCCACAGCCAAATCCTTTTCTCCAAAAAATTACTTTCCAGGCTAGCTCCTTATATTCAGTTAAACTCAGTTGCATCCTATCTCTTGCACGCCTCCACCCTTGCTTTCTCCTGCAAATTTTTACTTACAGATTACTCTGCCCTTTCGAACTACGACTCGCATTAACCCCTTCCATCAGCCACTGCTAGGCCTGACACCACCAACCACTATCAACTGCAGAATTGTCATATGTTCATGGGTGAAAGCAGTTAGGGGTGGAGGTGTGCAGGAGATGGGTTGCAGCTGGGTGTTACTGGATTTAAGGAGCTAACCCTTGAGACTCATCTTGGGGAGAAAAGTATTTGTTGTATTTTGGTGGTGAATGCTGCTGGTTTTCCCCCCAGGTCTGTTGGATTTTTCAGTATCCTGACCTGTCTCCTGTAATCTTGGAACTCTGGAACCTTGAACCTTTGGACTGGCTTTTGACTACAGTATAGACTCTTGATCCCTGGACTTTGTTTATTAAACTCTTGGCGTTTAAGCACTGGACTGGACCCTTTTGACTATGAAGTTATTTTTGCTATCAGTTTTTGTTTATTCTGTAGCTGCGTGCTATCTTTGTGTTTTATATTTTGGACTATAAAAACAGCCAGCAAGTAAGTGCTGTTTCAATTAAACTGCTAAAACTGGGAGTTTGATTCATCTCTAACTAAATAAGGCAGAGCCCTGGCAACGTGACAAGAACATGATACATATCAATGATATCTTCAATGCGTGCTGTTGTAACTTTCCCTTCCTTTCGAAGCCCCACGTCGAAGAAGGAGGGCCCGGTGAGCCCCCAGTCTGGGAAGGAGGTGGAGGCTGTCTCTCCATCCCGCAGCCAAGTGGCGGCCGCCAGCAAGGAGCCTGAAGTCAAGGAGACGCGGGAGCCAGACACGATCAGTGTGGACACCCATCGCTCCGACTCAGCGCCCAAAGAGGAGGCTCCTACCAGGCCCAGGTAGGGATGGGGGCCACTTTGGGGGACCTTTGGCTACATCCCTGTTGCGCTTGAGCCCTGACACACCTTTTCACCACAAACCACACTCTGTCCAGATAAGTAAAAGTTTATTTAAAGAAGAGTATATAAGATAAGCAAATTCAAATGAGAGAATCAAAGTTCAAAAGGTTATTTCCAAGATAGCCAAGAGCTCAAAATCCTTTCAAACGCAGTCTCCAGAGTCAAGCCACAAAAATATCCATAAACAAGAGAGCATGAATCCAAGGTAGATAGAACAGTGTTTCTCAACCTTCCTAATGCCACGACCCCTTAATATAGTTCCTCATGTTGTGGTGACCCCCAACCATAACATTATTTTCTTTGATACTTCATAACTGTCATTTTGCTCCTGTTATGAATCGTGATGTAAATACCTGATATGCAGGATGTATTCTCATTCACTGGACCAAATTTGGCACAAATACCCGAAACGCCCAAATTTGAATACTGGTGGGATGGGGATAGGGCGTTGATTTTGACATTTGTAGTTGCTGGGATTTATAGTTCACCTACAATCAAAGAGCATTCTGAACTCCACCAATGATGGAATTGAACCAAATTTGGCACACAGAACTCTCATGAAAATACTGGGTTTGGTGGGCATTGACCTTGGGTTTGAGAGTTGTAGTTCACCTACATCCAGAGAGCCCTGTGGACTCAAACAATGATGGATCTGAACCAAATACTCAATATGCCCAAATGTGAACACTGGTGGCATTTTGGGAAAATACACCTTGACATTCGGGAGTTGTAGTTGTTGGGGTTTATAGTTAACCTACAATCAAAGAGCATTCTGAACCCCACCAAGGATAGAATTGGGCCAAACTTCCCACACAGAACCTCCATGACTAATAGAAAATACTGTGTTTTCTGGTGGTCTTTGGTGACCCCTCTGACACCCCCTCGTGACCCACCCAGGGGTCTCAACCCTCAGGTTGAGAAATGCTGAACTAGAAGCAAGAACAACTTAGAAACTTGAATACATGAATTCCAAGGACATAATACCAAAGAACCGAGCTGTTCACCTGGATACAATGTTGCTTGTACCAGTAGGAGCCACTTTAAAAGGCCACCATCCCTCCCATCACATCATTTCTCATACACCTGCTTTTCCTTTCCTTATCTCTAAGCCTCTGGGAAAAGCAAGTCTGTCTTTGTTGCGTGCTCTGTCTCCGCAGTTCCAAGTGCCTTGACCTAGACAAACATTTGTCTCCCACATTTCTCTCAGCCTGCGCTTCTGGCAGGTTCTCATGAGAACTGATATCGCTTTTCCCAGTCTCATGGGAACTGCCAGGAGATTCCGACACAACTCATTCTAAGCCATTTCTATCCTCCTCTGGGCTCTCTAAATCTATCCCAGCATCCCCATCCTCATCTTCTGAGCACTGAGAATGTGACCAGGTTGCAACAATTTATTTATTTATTTATTTGCAACATTTATAGGCCATCCTTCTCACCCCGAAGGGGACTCAGAGCAGCTTACTATATATATATATATATATATATATATATATATATATATATATATATACATTCACTAGCCGTCCCTGCCATGCGTTGCTGTGGCCCACATGGGGGTTCTGTGTGGGAGGTTTGGCCCAATTCTATCGTTGGTGGGTTCAGAATGCTCTGTGATTGTAGGTGAACTATAAATCCCAGCAACTACAACTCCCAAATGTCAAGATTCTATTTTCCCCAAACACCACCAGTGTTCAAATTTGGGCATATTGAGTATTTGTGTAGAGTTTGGTCCAGATCCATCATTGTTTGAGTCCACAGTGATCTCTGGATGTAGGTGAACTACAACTCCAAAACCAAAGGACACTGCCCACCAAACCCTTCCAGTATTTTCTGTTGGTCATGGGCGAACTGTGTGCCAAGTTTGGTTCAATTCCATCATTGGTGGGGTTCAGAATGCTCTTTGATTGTAGGTGAACTATAAATCCCAGCAACTACAACTCCCAAATGACAAAATCAATTTTCGAGTGAAGGACCAACATTGGGTTGTTAGGTGTCTTGTGTCCAAATTTGGTGTCAATTTGTCCAGTGGTTTTTGAGTTCTGTTAATCCCACAAACGATCATTACATGTTTATTTCCATAGATATACATATACATACACACACATACACATACATACACAATATGTTATTAGCAAAGTACAATATCAGTATTAAATATTACTATATTGTACTATACCATTATATTGTAATATTATTACAATATAATATTATTATTACTAGTATTATATTGCATTACATTATAATATTATAAATATTATATGTATACAATATGTTATATTATATTATATTATATTCATAGCACAGGAGACAAGGTGTAACTGCCCCTGCCCCCCACCCCCTCACTTTGGCCCAGAGCGGTAGTTGGTGCTAGGGGAAGGGGGCGAACACTGTTGTCCAGGCATGGGACAAGAGGCAGACATTGGGAGAAGGGCTTTCTTTGCAACCTACCTTAGCTGCCTGTCTATTTCCTTGTTGAGGACTATCAACTTTTGAATTGAGAGCCAATTGAGAGCCTTTTTAGTAATCCAAGGGGGCTTCACCAGAAGGTTTAGGGCTTCCAGGGGTCCTGATGCTCAATGTGCTGACCCCAAACCTATGGCTAACACTGTTGTTGCTGGTCCTTCCTGCGTAGCTCCCCGCCCCCCAGGCCGGCTGCCTTTGAGGACTTCAAGAACGAACGGGGCAGCGAGATCAACCGGATCTTCAAGGAGAACAAGGGCATCCTGAACGACCGCAAGAAGAAGCTGAGCGAAGTGGCCAACCGGCTGAACATGCTCAAGCAGGAGATGGACACCGCCCGGCAGGCCCTGGAGGCCCAGAAGCTGGAGCGCGAGCAGCAGGGTGAGAAACTGAGGGACAAGGGAATCCATGCGCCAAAGGCCACTTCACCCCACCTGGGCCTTGCTGTGGCATCTGACATGGATGCGGGCGAAATATCCCGTCACAGTGTTATTCTTCCCAATAAGGAATAAGGGGCAATTGATGTTGCTGGGTGTCCTGTTATGATGGATTTGTTGCACTCCAGAACAGGAATAGCCCTCTGATTTTTAAACACTACACGTTGAGTAGGAAAAACAATGCTTTTTTATTGAAGATAAGTAAAAACTGTCAGAGAATTTGGGGGTATATGCGCAGCGGAAGAGGTTGCTAGATCAACAGACACAGGACTCCAAAAATCAGGAATCTGCAGTTTTACAGTTGCAAATAACAAAGTTTACTAAGCACATCTACACACGTCCATTCTTAGCGGGCTATAATCAGGAACTACAAAGCACAGCATAAACAGTTTCAGAACATCTGCTTATCAGACCTCTGGCTGTAACCGGATCCTCCTTCTACTTCCCACAGCCAGAGAACATGTTATCTCACTTCTGTCATGGTTACATTTTCTCTGCTTCTCACAGTATTTCTAATACACAATTGAACAACATAATAGAATCCATCTTGAAACACATCTTAATCCATCTTGAATTGCATAGAAACACATTGAAAAACACACATGCATACCTCAATAATCCTGACAAAAACAGCAAAGTAGAAAAAACACTTTAAGGGAATAGGTAAATCCAATTAGTTTAGAAGATAAGCAGGAACAAATTAGTCCAAGGTATGGTTCAGCAAAGTTCAAAACTAAGTCCAGACTTCTCTATTAAAATCCAAAACAAAAACAAAAACAGGGAAACCTTGATCCAAGGCATGAAGAGACAAATCACAAGAGACAAGAGTCAAACTGTAGCAAGAAATCCTTAAACATGAACCTTCCAGACAAGGCTTTCATGAGACAAGAACAAGAACTTAGCAAGAATCTGAACTGTTGCTTCATCTGACTATATTTCCCATGGTTGGAACTTTATATCCCCTTGTTAAGACTCAGAAATTGGTTTCGTTTTCCCTGAATGCCTCTCATCCTTACCTGTCGAAGCCTGGCCAAATGCCAAAGGGCTTGGTTGAGCTGTCTGTTTTGGCTAATTTCCACCCACCTGTCTGTCTGCTCATTAGTTTCTCCAGGTGCCAAGTTGTTTTCAAGCCCCCAATCCTGGGAACTCTCTGGGAGCAATTCAGGGAGTAAACTCTCATCCCTATACCCTGTAGGAACATTCTCATGGGAAACTACACTTTGAACCGACGCCTCTCTGTCATTCTCTGCATTAATATCATTGACCAAACCATTGCCATCTTGACCCTCATTGACATCATTCCCCACATCCAAAGCACCTTGATATTGAAACACAATCACAGGCTGAACTCCAACAGGATTTGTACCTGGGGCCATCTTGGAAAACAATTGGGGTGAGCAAGTGAGAGAATATTTTTTCCCACACTCATGAAGTCAGATAGTCCTCATTTAGAGGACATGAGATGGTTTGAATATCCCCATGTGAGTTCTTCCTCCATCCTTTGATGGACTGTTTCATGCCCGCCTGTCTCTAAAGCCTGGTTCTGAACTTGGACCCTCAGGAGAATACCTGAATGATGAGGGGCAAATCATCATCGATGAGGAGGAGTTCCTGCTGATCATGAAGCTGAAGGACTTGAGGAAGCAGTACCGGGCCGACTACAATGAGTTGCGAGACCTGCGCTCCGAAGTCCAGTATTGTCAGCACTTGGTGGATCAGTGCCGCAACAGGTTGCTCACAGGTACCACTGGCCGCAAACTTTCTGAGAAAAAGGGGCATTAAATTGGAATTATGGAATCAGAACAGACCGCAAGGGCTGTCCAATCCAACCCCTTGTCATGCAGATCCCCAAGAACCCTTTTTCCGAGGTCCAAGTGAAACTGTGGATATGGGATCTGGAGGTAATGGGTTTCTTACTATCCTCAGAGGTCATTTGTGTGGCTTCTGTGCATCACATTCAAGCAATTAGATATAGTGGAGCCCTTGGCTTGTTTGACCATGGTTCCCAGCAGAGGAAAATTTTAGGTTCCTTCTACATTGCAATATAATCTATTTTATCAAAACAGATAATCCACATTGGATTTTACACTAGGACTCAGTGGAGCCATGGGTTCAAATGATAAGAAGGGAGATTCTAACTGAACACTTACTTACTTAGGTGATCTCTCGTTGACCGAGTAGGATAGTCTTCCAAGATCAGTGTACTGGTGGGTCCGTAGGTGACTGTGGAGCCCTCTTATTGATCTGCATCTTCTCCTGCAGTGAGGGCATTGGTTTCCAGATGGAAGGCGGTCTCGGTCGGGGTTGGCTTGACGCGCCTTCCTCATGGCATGCTTTTCTCTTTTTCCCTCCATTTGTGCCTCTTCAAATTCTGCAGCACTTCTGGTCACAGTTGACCTCCAGCTGGAGCGCTCAAGGGCCAGGGCTTCCCAGTTCTCAGTGTTTATGCCACAGTTTTTAAGGTTGGCTTTGAGCCCATCTTTGAATCTCTTTTCCAGCCCACCTACATTTCGTTTTCCGTTCTTGAGTTCAGAGTAGAGTAAGTGCTTTGGGAGACAGTGGTTGGGCATCTGGACAACGTGGCATTCGGTCCAGTGGAGATGATGGCGCAGGAGCTGAGCTTCTCGTATGCTTCTTCCAACTGAACAATAGGAAGATCAAAACTCAAACACAGGGGAGCTCCAGACAAGAAACAATCAGGGATAGCTAATCACCTCTCAACAAAGAATTCCCCCAGGCAATAACAGGGCACACCTAAAACTATCAGACCATCATATGCTAATCAAGGTCATCAAATGCTAATCTTTCTTCCACCCTGGACTTTCCCCAGATATATAAACCCATTTTTCCTAGTTTCCAACAGACCTCACAACCTCTGAGGCTGCCTGCCACAGATGTGGGAGAAACGTCAGGAGAGAATGCTTCTATGACATGGCCATACAGCCCAAAAAACTTACAACAACCCAATAGGAAGATCTTCCTGACCATAAGAGCTGTTCAACGGTGGAACTTCCCCCTCTTGAGTGCTTTCCTGTCTATAGCCACTGTGCCATTACCAAACCATACACAATAGATGCAGCAGGTAAGAACACTCTCTATAGCAGTGGTTCCCAACCTGTGGGTCCCCAGGTGTTTTGGCCTACAACTCCCAGGAATCCCAGTCAGTTTACCAGCTGTTAGGATTTCTGAGAGTTGAAGTCCAAAAACATCTGGGGACCCCAGGTTGAGAACCACTGCTCTATAGCATAGTGGTAGAAACTCACCAGCAGTTTTTCATTCAATTGCTGCTTCCTGAAAAGTTTCAGAATGTTTGCTGGATTGTTCTTAACCAGCACTGCAGAATGATGGCTGCCCCAGGGTCAGATCTTCCTTTACAGTAACTCCTAGGAACTTCAAACTCCTGGCCATCTGCTCCACTTGATCTCTGTTTATAACCTGAGGCTGAATGTCTGATTTATTCCTTCTGTAATCTACTATTAGCTCCTCGGTCCTATTGCTGTTAAGAACCCAATTATGGTCCCTGAACCACGAGAGCAGCCAATTCACCTCATCCTGGTTGGCAGTCTCATCCCCACCACTGTTGTGACATCTACAAATTTAGCAATGATATGACTGGGGTGAACAGGGGTGCAAGAGAGATCAGGCTACAACGCACTGACCAGTTTTGTCTTTCTGTGACTCTCATTGGTGCCCATCTTTTCCTCGTCTCTTTTTGCCCCCCAGAGTTCGACATCTGGTACAACGAGTCCTTCCTCATCCCGGAGGAGGTCCAGGAGGTGCTGCGACCCGGAGGAGCCATCCGGCTTGGCATGATTCCCATCAACAGGGTCCTGACCCTGGTAAGTTACAGCTCAAGTTTGGTGGGTCTTCGAAAGCTGCAGGTGTCGAATCTACTGCTCAGTGGTTGCAGCCCAATGTTTCCTGCAAGTATCATCCACTGGGCTAGAGACCCTCTTTAGGCCCAGACTAATGCCTCCTGCCCTTCCTTCCTTCCTTCCTTCCTTCCTTCCTTCCTTCCTTCCTTCCTTCCTTCCTTCCTTCCTTCCTTCTCAGGATGAAGACGACCAGGAGAGGTTTGACCGGATGCAGCAGGAAGTGCTGCCTTTCTGCCCGGATTCAGTCTCCTTCTATAACGCCAAGGCCAAGGTGGACCGTAAGGTGAGTGGATCCAGGACAAGTGCTGAAATTGGAATAGACAGGTCCCGGGTAGGACTTTTCAAAGCCTTTCTTGTGTTCTTTGAAGGAAATAGCTTCCAGACCCATTCGAAGCTGAATCTTTGCCATCATTCTCTTGCAGCTGCCTTTTAAGTTATACTTATACTATCCATGCTGGGGAAAGTGGAAGGCAAAAGGAAGAGGGGCCGACCAAGGGCAAGATGGATGGATGGCATCCTTGAAGTGACTGGACTGACCTTGAGGGAGCTGGGGGTGGTAACGGCCGACAGGGAGCTCTGGCGTAGGCTGGTCCATGAGGTCACGAAGAGTCGGAGACGACTGAACGAATGAACAACAACAATACTATCCATCCCCTGCCACACGTTGCTGTGGCCCATTTTGTGTATATGTGTTTTATGTGTGTATATATGTGTGCGTGCAGTGCAGTGGTGCAGTGGGTTAAACTTCTGAGCCACTGAACTTGCTTACCAAAATGTTGCAGGTTTGAATCTGGGGAGCAGGGTGAGCTCCTGCTGTTAGCCCCATCTTCTGTGAACTTAGCAGTTAGAAAACATGCAAATGTGAGTAGATCATTAGGTACCGCTCTGGCAGGAAGGTAACGGTGCTCCATGTAGTCATGCTGGCCACATGACCTTGGAGGTGTCTACGGACAACGCCGGCTCTTTGGCTTAGAAATGGAGATGAGCACCAACCCCCAGAGTCAGACACAACTAGACTTAATGTCAGGGGGAAACCTAATAATATAATATAATATAATATAATATAATATAATATAATATAATATAATATAATATAATATAATATA